TTCAGATTTTCTCTTGTTAAAGACGTCCAGACTTCTAGGCTCTGGAATCGATACATGAATTAATTTATGGCGTACCTTTAAGGGTCATTTTTCAATCCGTACGTCGAGCATACCTACCAACGTTTATAAGGGAGTCCCCCAGGGATACAGTATTCTACCCTGGTTTCCAGAGTCTGAGTTTTTATCAGGGCGCGAAACTCTATGAGAAAAAGTAAATTCAGCCTCTGGAAACCAATGTAGCACTCTTTTGATCTCTAAAATATTGTTAACATTTTCAATTGACGCTATTGTTGCAAAATTTCACTTTTAGATGTCAGCGTCGGCTACTCTTACTGTTGTTTTTTTTTTTGATGATCTATATGACAAGTAATAATACTTAAATACATAGGAGGCCTACCTGAAATTAGCGTAATTGCTGGTTTAACGTCACTCCACATTCCTTCACCGACAACACTGAACGCTTTCATTTGAAGGGTGTAATTAGTGTACGGTTCAAGTGGAGAAAATCTAAACCAACTCCTGTCGGGAGGCACACGTTTTACCATGTTATTCAACTTTATTACGAAACCAGTGATTCGACCGACGTCATCTGATTGCACAGGGGACCATGTCAATCTTAATGATCTCTTGGCGGGTGTAATTGAGAAGGCTTGCTTTCCTGGTACATCTGGAAATATGCAATAATATATCAAAGAACAGATTTTAAGTGTTGTTTATAGCTGGAATGAGAGTTTTATCGGGATATATAATTCGAAGCACTTTTGAGTTCTTGAATTCCAACACCCAAAAAATCGAAAAAATTGTTATCACTTTAGAGAAAAGTTGAAGAATTCGAAGACAGGGATAATGCATATTAAACTTCTAATGAGCATGTGCATTGTGCCACAATTGAAATAATTTTGATCCCACACGGAAGAACGGCTAGTCTATGCTATTAAAAGTGCGTGTCTGCACATTGATTCAAACATATTTAAAACCTACAAAAGGTCTATGATGCGTAATTTAAAATGAGACCTTTGCTAGTGTTGGATTGCGATAAAGCGCTGATGAATTTGAGCATCAGTTTTTATATCTGATATAGAACTGATAAATAAAACATCAATTCTATATATCTGATATTAAACTATAAAAAACATCAGTGCCTCATCGGGATTTAAAGGACTTTCACGTGACGCAATAGTTTGATATGCTCATTGGACTTATAGTTTGTGAATTATTAATGAGTTCTAGAATGGTATATGCATGCACGTACGCATCCATAATAAGATCAAAAATAAATCATGAAGGATTATTAATGGTAAATGCACAGAAAAACGCAGTGGCGTCCTTGGAAGACAAAACTCTCAAATATGAGAATTTATTTTGCCAAATAAATAGGGTATCACATTTTGAGTCGAACAGTTTGTTTGTCCCTGCTTTAGTCCAAAAAAGCATTCGTGCTACATTGAAGTCAATTAATCTTGTTATTCATAGTCTTGAAAGCTCAGAACAAAGCTGGAACCCATCATCCTTCCCCTTTAAAACCTCTGAGTACGCCAGAGAATCTCCCTTCAGTTCCATTTGTTTTGTTTTTTTCTTAAGGACTCGAGACATCTACTTTTCACTGCATTTAACATATATATTTTCTTACTTAGGTTGACAGTTACTTGAGCCGTTGCTTCAGATGGTCCAGCGCTTGGTACATTCACGGGAAACATCGCTCTGCAAGTGTAGTTCATCTTACAGATCACAGGCCTCAAGTTGGGATTTTTTCTCTTGCATATATACTTAGATATAATGTCAGTAGCAGAAGTAAATTGTACAGTCAGTGTTGCACTTTGAATCATTTCTGAACCATTACGAAACCATTGGATAGTGGGTGATGGTTCTCCGATGACTGTACACTTCAGTGCTTGAGTTTCTCCTTTGATGCTGGGTAATGTTACTTCATTGTCTTTGATCGTTGCCTTTGGAGATGTTACTGAAAGGAAAAAAATAATCAGGCCTTCAATACCTGTTAATCTAGAGTCTAAACATCGATCAAGAATGACATGATATTTGAAAGTATATTGAAAGTTCTGAATATAATATATGATAATAGTCTGATCGATATATCATTGCTCAAATCATACATCGATCCGGTTTAAAGCTAGGATAGCTTGTTAGAATTAAGGCTAATGATGTAAAAATTAAAAACTTTACATGGGTAAACACTGAGTTGCACATACGCAAATATARATTTTATAAATAAAATAATTAATTTCAGCCAAATCATTTTTGCATAGCAAGTTGATTCAACTGATTTCTAGTGCATATAAGAGAAAACATACCAAAGTCGCATCCATACAGGTCAAGACGCATACAATTCCCGCCACTATTTTTCAGTGGAATTATTCTGACGTAACGGGCTGCTATTGGTCGATGCAGCCAGTTAACTATGACATCATTTTTGTTTGTGTTTCCAATGAAATTCTGATATAAAAAATAGAAGAGAATCATCAATAACAATAGAACAATCCCGAATTCGCTTGGATGAACACGAAACAATGGCTTCATTCCGAGCCTGGAGTTTTATCTTTTGTCGAAAACTCCAGCCTCGAAATGAAGCCATTGTTCCGTGTTCATCCAAGCGAATTCGGAATTGGTCTATTGTAGAAAATTAAAGTACAAAGCTTGAAACTTAATAAAAAGTGTGATTGTGAAAATTAATTTTTTTAAACGTGTTTCATAAATGAAAATGAATTATATTCAGTGTGTYACCTTTCTAAACTGAGCCTCTGTGTAATTATACCAGACGATTYTACTGAAAGAGAACATAAGACTGTATGACATCACCCACTTGTTCTGCGATGGGTCACCCTGTGTTGCTACTCCCGTGACCGTCTTTAACCGACCCAAGTCAACCTGTATGTACTCGGTTTTTGACAATGTTGCACCGCACCATGAAGAACTACCGTACAGGCGACCTCGCGATGCAACATGGGAACTGCCTGATGAGGACGATGAGGTAATCTGAGGAGGGTCCGAGATTCCTCTGTTCTCGACACCAAGCGAGCCTGTGCATGCTATTCATAAATAAGAAAATAAATCATATTCATAATATCATAAAAAAACTCCCCGGTACCACTAGAAATGTATTTAGACGTAGAGACTTTTGCAAGAATTTGATGTCATTGAGGTATAAAAATGTACCTTCTGCTGTTCCTTTAAAATCGACTCTTAAAGCTTTATAYCCATTATAAGRCCCTTTAGGAACCACTCGAACAAATTTTGCTTTGAAGGGATACTTGATGAAATTGGAGACAATRGTTGATTTGTCTGAGTTTCCTTGGAAAACCTGTGTAAACGAACGGAACARTGAGAAGTTTGATGGTGCAAAGGGGTCGTGGCCTTTCAAGATCGAGTTGAGAACGTCGACGATTGACTATAAGTGCGCATATGCAATTACATAAAAGGAGATCCAGTAGTTTTACCTGCAAAGCATATACTTATGTTATGGCGTCGTGCGTTTGTCGATAATACTTTTGATGTTGCTAATGACATTTTTTTTATTATTATGCCCATGCTCATGAAGATGTGCTGATTGACCTATCGCATAATTACGTCACACCAAAACAGTTCTATCGGCGTTAAGGATTATGGTCGCCAGAGGGGAACAGAGTGACTGCATTTCAAACTAGACCCATAACTGCGCGAACTCACGCTTTCTTCGTAAATAACTGTTTTGATATCGAATTTCAAGCAATAGAATAATCATTCACGATTGAACTTGTTCTCTCGCAATATTCGCTCGTGATATATCGCTCGTAAAGTAATCTGCAGTCTACAAGTTTGGGGAAAGTATCGTCCCAAAATGTACAGACACTTTCTAAATGCTTGTCCGCCACTATTGTAGTTGACCATGAGGTTCATCATTTCATTGTGCGAATGCCTACTAGTATCATAGCTGCGTGCGCATGCGCTAATTTTAGTCATTTTGTTGCTGTAGGAAAATAACTTACACTAACTATGCTGAATTTATGACTCGCCGCTTTCGTGCGATGAGCAATCTTTGATTTCATGATGTACATTATGTTCTACTTTCTGAAAAAAATGTCAATAAGACGGAATTTCGAGTCTTTCTGAGTATCTATCTACAATGTAAACATATTGTGACGTCAATATGTTATAGGGCAATTGTAATAAAAGAAATCACGTTTACTGAAGTGCCAATACAGCATGACAAGGAAATTGTAACTGACTTAACTTTAACTGACCTTTTCGTTTCCATCCAACTCGTTATATGTTTTCCATAATCTATTATCATCTGAGTATTGAAGCTTATAMTTAGTGACCCAATAATTTCTACTGGGGTTTCCTTGAGTCAATAYAGCACATATACGAAATATTTGACCCAGATCGACCTGAAGGTATTCATTTCTGCCAGTASTTGTTCTGGAAAACCACGAAGAACCGCCMACTAATCGTGCCATGGACGGTTTATAAGAATTGCTATAATAAGATGACGCTGTAATGCGATGGTTTGGTACGATGAATGTACTGGGAACACCAACACTGTGTTTAGAACATGCTAAAAATAATCAAATTAATATAATCTGAATCAAGGGATAATTACAGAAACAAAATTCAACGCTTGTAAATGGCTTGAAGCACTGGAAAGGCAGCATTTTAGAAATAGCTCAAAGAATAAAGAAGAACAGTAAGTAGAAAAAAATAATGTCAATGTAATGAAGATATATTACTTGGTTCCAATTGATAACCATACACCTCTAGCCTAAGGCATGGTAAACCAAGGTAT